TATTAAAGAAAAAAAGAATATACAATGACATTGTAAAATATTTGTACACTCTCAACCAATCAAAGGCGTGTAACCTGTCAAGTCACATTTTTAATTTTAAAATACTGATATGACATAACTGAATGTTATAATTTTATAGGATGATGGTGTAAAATTATTTTATACTGACGACACATTATATTTAATTTTATTATTAAAACTAATTTCTAATTTCTTTTTTAAATTTATGTAAATTTTTTCAAATATAATATATAATACTATAAATTTTTTTTTTATAAAGAAACTGAAAATTTCTTTTAAAAATATAGATTTGTTTTCATATTATCAAAAATAATTTTAAAACATATAACTTTTGTATAATTTTTTTAATTTTTTTTAAAAATCAAATAACATAAAATATATTATTAAATATTAAAATATAGTTGAAATTACAAAAAATTTAAAAATACATTTTTTATAAAAACTATTCAAAATTGTTTCAAGTTTCAATAATTTTTTAAAAAATTTTATTATTAAAAAAAGCAATACTAAAATAATGAGATAAAATATTAAAAAATGTATTTAAATTAATTTTTATTTTAAAGTCTTTATTTTTAAATTCTTGTAAAGATTTTTAAACAATATAATACTAGAAGAAACTTATACAAACGGTTTAGGATCTGTTTTTGTATATAAAAGAATGATCTTTTAAAAATATTTATAATTTTTTTAAATTAAAAGTAATTTTTTCATCTAATAGTTTAAATATTTCTTATTGTTAAATTATATAATTTTAAAAAATATATATTCTAAAAATAATTACTATAAAATATATTTTAAATAGTTTTATTTTTAATTTATTTTGAATAAAAAATATATTGTAATACAATTGATAGTAAAATTAATTTGATTGATTGATTTTATATCATAATTTTGATTTTATTTTAACAAATTATATTTTTTTAAAAATATCAAAATCATATCAAATAAAAATATTTTTCTTTTTAGACAATATTATTAATCATAACTTCACCATATAAAATTATAAAATATAATTAATATCATCAATAATCATGAATTTTTTTAACGAAGTTCCAAATATATTAAGCAAAAAAAAAACAAATAGAAGGGGGGACAAGACGAAAACTCTCTAGAAGAACATAGCGAAAAGAAAACAATTAAAAGATAAACAACAAAACACATGACACATAACTCATATCAAAAAAATTAGTGAGGCGTACGGTTGGAGACACCACTCTTAAAATCTTTATTATTCTGTGACAATTTCTTCTTATTCTTACATTTTCTTAGAATCACCAATTAAAATAATTGATTTATATTTTTATCCAAATCAACAATCACATCTTTCTTTTCATTGATCATGACTCACCATCAATTAAAATAACTGACTTATATTTTTTTCCAAATCAACAATCACATCTTTCTTATCATTGATCATGCTCTGATGTATAATAAAATTGACAAAGTATAAAAATAATATGGATAATGTAGTTTATATGTTATATTATATATTTATATTTACAAATAAATTGAAATTTTTGTTAAATCAGTTATAGTTGTGCAAGAACGTCAAATAAGAGGTAACTTATTTTTATTTTATTTATTTATTTTTAAAGGATAATCTTTAACCTAACACATTTTTAAATAAATTTCTAAGTCAAACAAAAATGTTATTTGATATTTTTTAGTTTAGTTTGTATTACTATTTAACCAAAAATGAGTTATTTCATATGGTTCAAACCTACAAAATAGTTTTATTTTAGAGAATTTTTTTAATACACAGTGCACTTCTTCTAAACTTCTGGCAAAAATCTCAAAATATTCTCTAGACTTCGGATATACATATCTAAAAGCACCGTATTTGACAATAACATGTGTGTTTACATGTGCATATCCAAAGTCAATTTATTTTGTCAAAAAAGTGTGACTTCGTATGTGCATATTCGAATTCATCCCATTTATAATTTTGGAGATGCACATCTAAAGTCATCCTGTTGTTTTCAAAGCCACGAACAGAACATGCCCATTTCTTTTCAAGTGACTCTAACTCATCTCCAAGGCTCCAAGTTTGTGTAAGTTTCCTCCATTTTCATTTGATTCACTATGCAATGTTATAATAGTGTATCAGGTTAGTTTGTAGAAATGACATTGTATATATTGATGTTAGAATAGTTTGATGTTGGTGTTTGGGTGACAAAAAATGGTATTTGGATGATTTAGGGCAAGAAGAAGCTGCTTCTTGAAAACGGCTATTCACAGGTGAATTCGCATGTGCACATCCGAAATCTCCCTGGACCAGTTTCGAAAGTGCACATGTGAATTCTTGCCTGAGTTGCTTTTTTTATTTTAAAAAACCCCTTGATATTAATAATTATATTTAATTTTTCAAGAAGATGGCTGACAACCAGAGAACGTCCAATCGTTTGAGACAAGTTCGACCAAGCCAGATTACCTATGCTCGGCAAGAGAGCACCGAGCAGCTGGTTAACAGGCCTCGAGGACAGGGTCAAGTACAAAAGGAGGAATTGTCTGAAGATTTTTCTTCTTCTTCTTCTTCTGCATCGAGGATTCGTCTGTCTCAAGCGTCTACCTCTCGTGCGCATGAGTAGGTACCTGGGGGGGATGAGGTATCCAAACAGGTTAAGGTACCCGAGGGGGATAAGATACCCAAGCAGGATGAGGTACCCGGGAAGGTTGAGGTACCCGAAGAGGTGAACCAGAGCTATTCAAGAGGGTCTTATGACACCTCCCTCTTGATCTACTATCATGATCACGCCGCTCGACATGTTTTGGATGAAGATGTATATTTTTTGTTACATTTTTTCATTTTAAAGGCTTACTCAAAAATATAAATTTAACAGTTATTACTTTTTTGTTTGTTTGTTTCAGGAATGATTCCAATTAAGTCCGTGAATCACTCGCGAAAAATGTTTGAATTGTTTATATCTACAGCTACTTGGTTCCATGAGGTCGTGGTTGCATCCGAGCTTACCGGGTTATGCTGTACTGGTTACAATACTATAAGCCACGATATGCAGGGTGTCGAGAAATGGCACAAGGAGATATCGTCTTTCCACTTTTCCATTAGGGAGATGACGATCATACTTGATTATGTTGCTTGCTTGCTCCACCTATCTATCAGAGGTAGGTTACTTAACCATCACAAGGTACCATGAGCTAAGGCAGTTGAATGGATGAATGAGTAACCGAGAGCTGATCCATATAGGGAAGTTGAGGACTACATAACCACAAATAGGCCGTATGCAAAGTTCTCCTACCTGAAGGAACTATATGAGGAGTAGATGGTTGCAGCAGCAGGGGCCGAGGATGATGGCGACGAGGTTTTTGTCTAGTACCACAGAGATTGTGCTATACAGTGTTACCTCATGTTTTTGGTTGACACGTCCCTCTTTATGAACAAAAGTGCCTACTACGTAGATGTGATATATCTCCGGTATTTTATGGATCTGAGTACAATTCGTGAGTGGAATTAGGGAGTTGCCATTTTGGTATATCTCTACCAGAAGCTGAATGAAACTTCAAACTAGAGGACGAGACAACTCACTAGCTCTTGCACACTCCTCACAGTACCTTTCATTTCAACTATTAACTTTAATTTGATATTTATAATTTGTACTTACATATTATCTGATTGTTGTTTCAGAGTTGAATAATCTCTCACTTCCACCACATTCATGGTTTCAAACCAGATCCAATTTATACTGACGACATTACCGAGAGCAACAAAGTATCTCCTCCATAGAAGGAATCACAAAGTGTCGCCTTACCGAATGTATCTTGATCGTACTAATCACAATGACATCAAATGAACACTATTTAAGGATTACATGGATGTTTTTGGAATCGATCCCATCTCATTATACTAAGGGTGGCTAACATGTGGGTCAAATCTCATGGTCAGGTATCTTCCAGAATGGTGTATCCGACAGTTTGACTATGTGTAGAAGATACTGAGATCTCCTTTTCAGATTGCTCCTGACGCCATGGTCTGGCGGGATCTTGATGGCATCTTTCAGGATTGGGAGAATCATTTGGTACCACATGAGTATCAGATGATTTCGACATCCTAGAGTTGACATTGTGCAGAGGGTTACGTGACATGGTTCTTTAACGTGTCACACCCCATCATGACACTAGATGGTCCGGGGCGTCCACCTAGGCCAGCTCATAAGGAGCTCTTGGAGAACCAATAAGCCGATGATGACCATGCCACTGATCTTTTGCCAATCTATCAGAGCATCCACCTACTTGGGTAGGAGGCATTGAATGTTGGAATTATTGAGATTGGCGGTCCTGAGGTGGTTTCCATCATTGAGAGGATGGCTAGGGAGGCATCCAGTGCGGCGCAATATAGGAGGCAGAAGAGATCACATATGGTTAGGATTAGGTATACACAATAGCAGTAGCCTATGTTATATATTATTTTTTTGTTACCGATGTAATATTTTGATATTACACTTTTTGAACAACTTATGTACTAAATTATGTTTCTCTATGTCTGAACATATAATCTAATCGTTATGTCCATATTGTTATATTCGTTTCATATATTCGAACAAATCATAAAAAATGTGCATGTTTATAAGGTATCTGTAATGATATAATTTTAAACAAAAAATGACACAAATAGAAAAAAATTTCTGACATGCATATCCAAAACATTTGTATATGTCATTTCAGATGTGCATATGCGACACTTCCTCTAAAATTTTATCTCAAACATTTAAATATTAAAACATGTTAAAAAATAGTGTCTTTGAATATATACATTCGAAATATACTGAGAGGTAGATAATTTCGAGTATACATATCCAAAAAGTATTTTTGAATTTTAAATAGTGAAAATCTCGAATAAATTCTCTATATTTAATCTTTGACACGTGGCAGCACTAATGTGGCATGTCATCTAGCATCACCATTACCTTGTTACAACTTACAAGAGTGTTGTGAAATTGAGAACGAACAGTGTAAACAATTCAATGGCACACAAATTCCTCTTCAAGCCAACCTTCATTTTCACTCTCACGAAACAATTCACAGCAAAACCTCACCACCGCATTCTTCATAATCATCACAATCTTCCATTTTTCCACTCCAAACAATCTTCTCCCTTTCTCAACCTCAACACTCACCCAATTTCACTTCGCTCTACGACCACCACCGCCACCATCACCACCGCCACCCCCAATTACGGAGGTTACCTAGACCTAACAGACGATGACCTAATGAAACAGTGCGAAATGGGCACATTCAAAAGCTCTGGTCCCGGCGGTCAACACCGTAACAAACGCGAATCCGCTGTTCGACTCAAACATTTACCCACTGGTATCATCGCTCAGGTTCTATATTCACTTTTCATCTTTTTTTTTCTTTTCATTTTCAAAATTTCTTTTTTATTTTCTATTTTTCATTCTTAAATTCTAATATTATGGGTTTGTTAATTTTGATTTGTAATGTTTCTTTTAGGCTTCTGAAGATCGGTCTCAGCATATGAACCGTGCTTCTGCTCTTAAACGACTTCGCTCTCTCATAGCTCTCAAAGGTTTTTTCTTCTTTTTATATATTTATTTCCTTTTGCTCTTGTTTCTTTACAATTGCCACATTGCAATATACAATTTGGGTTTGTTGTCATCTTTTTTGAAAAAGAGATAATATATTGTCACTAGCTGCAAAATCAGTACAAGAAATGGAAATAGTTGCAGAATTAACAGCCCAAGAGAGAGAGCATTTAGCTGTCATATTCCACACCCTCTTAGTGGAAAAACTCTCACTATTTAATCATATTTTCTATTCGGCTTTCTTTCTCTATTGCTCCTTCTTACTCCCTAGATGATCGGATCACACGCCATCTGTCCTCTAGACCCATGTGCTTCAACTGATTTATTCTTTTTAATAATTCCTTCAATTACCTTAGTAGTAATTTCATTAGTTACCTCACCCTTCTCATTCATAACAATGCTTCTCCCATTAAAACTAACTTTGTCCTCAAGGTTAAGTGATGGATATTTGAGATGTAAAGGAGCTCAATCCATCCAAGTCGCATCCTCAGGAGCATCCAATTTCCACCGAGCCAAAACCTGAGGCACCTGCTCATTGTTACGAAGCAAGGTTCTGGTTTTGAGAATACCCTTAGGGACAATTTGAGGACCTTCCTCTGTAGTCAGCAGCGGCAATGGATAATACTGGCTATCATGCTCTCCACTGCATGGTTTCAAAACTGAAATGTGGAATATGGGATGAATTCTAGCGGATGGAGGAAGTAATAGCTTGTAAGCCACGACACCAATGCGCTCAATGACTGGGAAAGGCCCAAAGTAACGAAAGCTTAACTTCTGAGTGCGGTGCAGAGCAATAGAGTGTTGCCGATACGGTTGCAACTTGACTAACACCATATCCCCAACTTTGAATTCCAAAAATCTTCTTTTCTGGTCAGCATATTTCTTCATATTAGCTCGAGTCTTTGCTAGATTTGTTTTGAGTTGAGCCACCACCTCATCTCTAGCTATTAACAGATCATGCACAGTAGTGGGGTCAGGCACAGAGGGAGTATACTTAATTAAGGTAGGTGCCTCTCGACCGTAAACAACCTTAAAAGGAGTCATCCCAATGATGCTATGAAAGGCGGAGTTGTACCAAAATTCTGCCCATGTCAACATCTTAGACCATGTTTTGGGCTGGTCTACAGTAAAACATCTTAAATACTTCTCTAAGCACTTGTTGAGCACCTCCGTCTGTCCATCCATCTGAGGATGGTACGCAGAACTCATTGCTAACGTAGTCCCACTCATCTTAAACAAGTGTTGCCAAAATTTACCTGTAAAGATTTTGTCACGGTCTGATACAATAGAATTTGGAAAACCGTGCAGCTTGACAATGTTATTGAAGAAAACTTCTGTAACCTTAAGGCTTGAAAAATCAGCTTTGAGGGGAAAGAAATGGCCATACTTAGATAACCGATTCACTACTGCAAACATTACTGTGAATCCTTGAGACGGAGGAAGGCCCGTGATGAAGTCCATCACAATGTTCTCCCAAATTTGTTCCGGAATGGGCAATGGGTGCAGTAAACCAGCCGGTACAGTAGTAGCATGCTTGGTTTGTTGACAGATGAGGCATTTAGATACAAACTCTTGTACATCTTTGTGCAATTTCGGCCAATAAATTTGTGAAGCAATGCGAGCCTTGGTTCTCTTTATGCCTGCATGGCCCCCTATCACAGATGAGTGATATTCTTCCAAAAATTTTGTAATCAACTCTGATTGTTGAGGAACTACCAGCTTCGCATTCCAAAATAGCCTGCCATTTTTTATTTGAAATTGCGGATCAGATTGTATACCTTGTTGACATTGTTCCATGATTTCAATTAATGTCAAATCCTGAGTTGCTGCTATCGAAATTTGATCCACTAGGCTAGTGTGAGGTTGAGACACCGCCAAATAGAACAACGAGACAAGGCATCAGCTGCAAGATTGTCCTTCCCCGATTTATATAAAATGGAAAAATCATATCCAAGAAATTTGTGTAACCATACTTGCTGCTCCGGTGTTTGTATCGTTTGATTGGTGAGAGCCTTCAAGCTCTTTTGGTCGGTGCGTATAGTAAATTTATGCCCAATCAAGTAATGGCGGAACTTAGCAATAGCTTCAGAAATTGCATATAACTCCCTCACATAGGCAGATTGCTTTTGCATCACGAGAACTCAACTTTTTTGAAAAATAAGCAATGGGGTGCTTACCTTGACTTAGAACCGCGCCAATGCCCGAGCCGGAGGCATCAGTTTCAAGGATAAATGGAATTGTAAAATCTGGTAAGGCTAGTACTGGAGCTTGTGTGATAGCCACTTTAAGATCATCAAAAGCTACAGAAGCTGCATCATCCCATTTGAAGCAATCCTTCTTTAGCAAGGCTGTGAGGGGTGAAGTAACAGCAGCATATCCTTTAATGAAACGCCTATAATAACCCGTGAGTCCAAGAAATCCTCATAATTGCTTCAAATTTGTTGGACAAGTCCAATCAAGAATAGCTCTAATCTTAGATTGATCCATCTCAACACCGGACCTAGACACCACATGCCCTAGGTATTCTACCTTCGAATTACCAAAACTACACTTCGACAGTTTGGCAAACAAGCGATGTTGGCGTAACAGTAACAATACTTCCTCAAGATGGATTAAATGAGACGACCACGATGGACTAAAAACACCAGTATATCATAAAAAAAAACGAGGACAGATTTGCGCAGTTGTTGTTTAAATACATCATTCATCAAGTTTTGAAACGAGGCCGGTGCATTCGTTAGGCCAAAAGGCATGACCAACCATTCATATAAACCTTGATGGGTCCTAAAAGCTGTCTTATGCACTTCATTTGGTTGGACACGAATTTGATGGTAGCTCGAACATAAATCCAATTTTAAAAAATGTGTCGCCCCAAAAAGTTCATCCAACAACTCATCAACCGTCGGGATAGGGAAACTATCCTTCACCGTGATAGCGTTGAGGGCCCTATAATTGGTGCAAAAACGCCATGAACCGTCTTTTTTGCGAATCAACAACACGGGTGATGAGAAAGGACTAGAACTTGGTTGAATTATGCCCTCTTGAAGCATTTCATCTACCATGGTTTCAAGGGTAACGGTATGGTAGCACCTTAACCGGGTTACTACCATCCACCAAGGGAATAGCATGGTCATGTAGCCTCGAGGGGGAAGGCCTTAGGTGTTGCAAACACCAGCAAAATTAGACAACAAGGTTTGCGATTCCAGAGGTAACATAGATAGGTCTGATTCATTAGTAATTGGGCTCAATTGGTGCAAATGAAGGGCATAATATTCATCAATGGATTGTGTTTGGGAGAGTCTTCTAATATGATGGAACTGAGCAGGGCCTGGGAGAGAAGGTTTATCCCCGTGAAGAGTGACAAACTTGTCTCCTAAATAGAACTTCAAAGATAAATTACTGAAATCGGCAATGTGAGGCCCTAATGTAGCCAACCAAGTGGCACCAGCGCCAAATCTGCACCTGTCACAAGTAATAAATACACTGGTAATTGTAGAGTATGACTCTGCACATGTACTTCTAAGTTTTCCACAAAGCCCTCGGCTGTAAGGCTATTACCATTGCCGACCAACACCTTGAAGCTTTCAGCAGTTTGGATAGGCAATTTGAGACAATTTGCAATCCTCGGTTGTAAAAATTTATCAGAGCTACCACTATCTAGGAGAATTTGAACTTGAACTCCTTGTATGGACCCTTGAAAACGTAGTGTTCCCAAACCTCTTGAGCCTTTCAATGCATTGAAAGACAAATGATGTTCACCCTTAGTACCAAGCTCGATTTCCGTGGACTCCACCACTGGTTCCTCTTCAGCATCACCCTCTTTACTAGTGAAAAGAAGATATGTTCGATTGGGACATTTATGGTTAATTGAGAATTTTTCGTCACAAGTATAACAAAGTCCTTTTGCTCGTCTTAACTGGGCCTCTGCAGGAGACATTCTTTTAAACTGAGGAGTGCGATTTGGGGTGTTTGAAGGTTTCTGGGGAGGGGTGGGTAACAATGGTGGTAATGATGATTTTGGAGGAGTATATGGGTAGTTGGTATGGGTGAATTTGGATGTGGCTGTTGGGCTAGGTGATTTGAGTTTAGGATTATATTTCTCTTCAAAAAGCTTTGCAAGAGAAACGACTTTGGGTATGTTGATAGGTGTTTGAGCAATGACATCCCTGCGAATATCCGGTTTTAAACCGCTAATGAAATAATCAAGAAGAGCCTCAACACTCACACCTTGAGAACGATAAGCAAGAGCGGTGAATTCCAGATAATACTCACTAACAGAGGTGGTATGTTGAAGTTTGAACAAGGAAGCTCGTGCAGATTCATATGATGAAGGGCCAAATTCTAATTTAAGGGAACGAGTGAAAGCTAACCATGAGTGGAAGGGATGATTTCGCGACAACATCTGAAACCAAGGAACCACCTCCTTCTCCATGTGCACCGCCGCTATCGTTAAACGGTGAACATCCGGTGTGTTGTAGTATTCAAAGAATTGCTCGGCTTTGAATATCCACTGTAACTCATCAGAATCGTCAAATCGAGGAAAATCCAGCTTGACGTTACGAATCTGAAATGGTTGTGGCGGTGGTGTTGACGGTGAACTTGCTGGAGAACCCGTGACGACCGAAGTTAACTGAAGAGCTCCAACAGTGGCTTCCAAACGATCCATTCTGATGGAATCCCCGTCACGATCTCGCAAATATTCTGTGTGTCGTAACTCCATAAGATCCAACACTTTTCTTAAACTATTTTGCACATCCTTGAGATCACTTTGAACGTCTTTGAGTCTAGTAGCCTCTGCCATGGTGGAAAGTGAGATGAAAGCACCAATGAAAGGATAAGGTCCCTTTTATAAACACAATAATAAAATATACAATTGCTAGTATGGAATTCTTGTATTTTTGTGATTAATTGAATAATAGGTACAAGAATTTGTTAAATGGCAAATAGCAGAAGAGGATAAAATCCTTTTAGGGAAAAACCTGAAAAGTGCAGTACACTAGCTGCAAAATCAGTACAAGAAATGGAAATAGTTGCAGAATTAACAGCCCAAGAGAGAGAGAGAGAGAGCATTTAGCTGTCATATTCCACACCCTCTTAGTGGAAAAACTCTCACTATTTAATCATATTTTCTATTCGGATTTCTGATGGGTTCTTATATGAATATATGAGTCAACAATGAATATATGAATAGAATAGTAAAAGAATGTTGTAATTGTATTATTACGGACGAACAATTACAAAGGACGAACAATTACAAAGAAGTAACGGTGATGAAAATAACAAACTGATAGAGAATATCTATCAGCCCCTAAGCACGCAGTGCTTCCCTCACCAAGACGGTGATTCTCAAATCCAAAAAATAGAATACCTAGATACCTTATTTCCTCTCTATTTTATAGTCATAAACTTAGCTAATTATTCTCTCTCTTCCTTCCCTATTTTATAGTAGCCAACTCATTAATTATAGGATTAATTATAGTAACAACTCCTATAATTATTCACCCAAGAAATGGAAAGAAACACGCATCATTGATGCTTGTGTCCTTACTCTTCTTATACACCAAATCCAACGGCCCCTTAGTCCTCTTGACAGCCTTGAAGAGGTCTCACTCGCAACCATCCTCTTTCCGGTTTGAATTCTACGTATTTCTTCAATATCAATGGTATCATCCGCATCTAATTGCACCGAAACCTCTTGTATTCCTTTCTTAATTCTCTCATTCTCAATCATGTCCGCACGTAATATAGCCTTAACATCCTCGGGTGTTTTCGTGCAAGAAACTACATCACCGATAATTGTTAATTGATGCCTTTTGGCTCTACTTATTTCCCCACTGCTAGTTAAATCACATGTCACCTTCTTCTTGTTATTCAAATCCTTCAAATGATTGTATTTCCATCCTATGTCCTTACTATTGGTTGGTTTGAACGTTGGAGCACATGAAGCAACCGACGCAGAATTCAGTGTCGACGAAGAAGCTGCCATATTTACCCGAAAACAGAGAATGAAACAGTACGAAAGAAGTATATTTACCTGAGGCTGACAGAGAAGTGGAATGGAGAATTCCTTGCTGGCTGCTGCTGGAGCAGCGGAGAAATGGAACGGAGAAGTAGAAGAAGGCTTGCGAACGGCGGAGATGTGAGACAAAAGTAAAAGAAGATGGAACAGTGGAGAAGATGTACTTGTATGTTGCTGGAACGGTGGAGAAGATGCACTTGTATGTTGCTGGAAAGGTGGAACAATGGAGAAGAAATTGAAAAAATAGGGCAGAAGAAAGTGAAACGAAGGAGAATGAAAATATAATACAAATCTATTTTAAAAGAAGGGTAAAACAGTAATTTTGTCCGAAAAAAAATACCAGGCCCGAACCGCTCTTCCCGGGATAGCGCCCGCGATATTCTCTCCGCCACCGCACCCATGTGCGCGCGCGGCAGGCCTCCGCTCCGGTCTGGAGCGGGCGCTATTAACAACTCTGGATACTGGTTATCCTCAGATAATTCTTATCCTTGAGAGCAGTTTATCTTTTAATAATGTTTGTGAGTCTTCAAGTTGCATGAAGCCTTTGTTTGAGAAAGTCTTGCTAAGCTTTTGATTCAGTGGAGTTGACTTTATCAAAGTGAACTGTATTAGAGTTTCTTTAGGAGAATAGTTTGTTAGATTCAAAACCAAGAATATGCTTCAACAGGTTCAACCCGGTTTCACCATATTACAATTCAAATGGGTGATTTAATTGGTTCAATCCGATTTCGCTCGGTTTGACTAGATTACGGTTTAGATAGGATTGAATTAACTGGTTAGTTTTTGAAACATTGGTTTATTGATAATGGGGCTGTTAAAGAGAGAAAAATATCTTTCTGTTTAGTGATGGATCGTTTTTTTACTTTTTTTAATGGAGGGATAGAAATTAGTACTAACAAAGGGAGCTGGGAACTTAAGGGACTCAGATTTGTTGCTATATGTGTCTAGTCACGAAGTGCTAACACAAATACCAAACACGACACTCACATGTGTTAGACACCAGACAAGCCTTCAATGTGAAGCGTCCATGCTACATAGGTCAATACTTACATCGAAATAAATAGCTCATTTACTTATAGTAAACAATGCTTTGTCTGATAAAGCTTGTTATTTTCTTGAGCTAGTCAGGAAAACGGTGGATCTTGAGGCTTATGCACCCCCTCGAGAGCTTCTTCAGATACTTCCTCCCAAGTCATTAATTAGAGGGTCAGAGATTGGTTCACAAATTGGACCCAATAACCCAAAATTTGCAATGGTATGATCAATTGTCTTGATCCCTTGCTTTTTCATTTATTTCTTCTTTATCCTCATATAAAAGTCTATTACTTAAAATTCAAAACCTAATTGCAACTTAGCTATATATACTTATGATCCTTCAACAGGGAATGCAAGCTCTTCTAGATCTCATTTTTGCAGTTGAGGGATCTGTCTCAGATGCTGCAAAATATCTCGGGTATTTGATATATGCTTTAAGAATTATTATTAATATTTAATTCTATGTCTGTTTCAGTTATTATTATTTATTTATTTATTTATTTGGGTATGGTTGATCATGTGAATGCTCATTTGTTACTAAGGCTTTCGGGATTTGTAATTTATAATTTTAGGGGGCCACTAGTGGCATAAAAATGTAATTTATGATTTTACGTATGAAGTATAATTTCATATGCCTAAGTTCATGTCACAACAGTAGTAACAAGGTTAGTTGTTCGTGGAGATAGTAAATCTGATCTGTTAAAGGAAATGTTTCCCAGTAGGAGGGGATCAAGTTCATTGTAATATTCTTAGTGTATACAAGATAGGGAGTTCATTCCTTGACCAGGGAGCTTCCACTATGACTTTACTTTAATTTATTTGTTATCCTTCTTTTTCATACAATTTTTTTGAGTTCTCTTTGTTAATTATATTGCAGGTTATCTACTGGAGCAGTGTCTCGGTTAATCCTTTCTGATGATTCACTTAGAAAGGAAGTAAATGATCTGCGGGCATCAAAGGTAATCGAAAAACCTAATCCTATCTCATCACTTCATGGTTATTAAACTAATTAATAAGTTAAAAGTTAATGAATTTTACAGACAGTACTTGTTTTTAACTTCTTACTGTGTTATAATAATACTAAAACTAATATATACATACTAAAATGATTTTCTAATAATGTGATTAGAAGAAATATGTATATATAATATAAGAAATTAGCAAAACAGAGGGTTAGAGAAATATATCATCATGCAGCCTCTAGGGATATATTCAATATAAACAAGTAATAACTTTTGCATTATCGTTCATCTCCAAACATCAAGAACAAGTGACAAGTGGACGAAGTAATAACTGATAAAAATCAATAACGGGTTTCTGATTTCTTTGACATACTTGATGCTGAACAATGATTGTAAAAATTTCTTAATAACTCGTATAATCATGTATGTTACCATTATAGGTATGAAAATGGAGCTAAACTTACCAAACCTTGTATTAACTTTGGCAGAGTTTCTTAGATTCATAATTTTGTATAGACTTGCATTTTTACAAGCTTGAGGAAAATTGGATGAGTCTACAATATAATGGTTGTTTTCTTCCAGACATGCTTAAAATGGTAATGGTTCAGCATTTTCTCAAAGAACCCGAAATGCAACAGCTCAATGATATGGCTCCATAATGCTCAAAACATTATCCTCACAGTAGTAGAACCTGACTCTACAGTACAGATGCATCTTACACCGTAACATGAACCCATCTGCAAAGGTGGTTAACGATGTTGTACTGAGTTTCAACCCCATCGCTCTTAGCGTAAACAAAGTCGCAAACTAGAAAACACGAACTAAGCTATGGACTAAGCTATTGTTGCATGTTTGCAAATTAACCACTTGGCAAACAAAGTAAATGAACCCTCAACTTTGATGAACCGAGACTTAGCTCTACTGAGCTGAAAACAGCTCCAACACGGGGAACCTAGTCCCATAATTCTTCAGTCTTGTGTAATTTGGACCTCCTGATTTGTCAATTTGTCCGCCGAATTTGAATTAGATATGCTCATCTTTGTGTGTTGAGTTCTTAACCTATATTGTGATTTTGTGAACTTATCTGATCTGGTCTGTAAAATGTTCTTACGTCGGATAGAGTTCATTATAGGAAACCACTCATATTTGTTATAGTTATTACGTGCTCAAGTAACTCGTAATTAACCTCATTCATCGAATACAACTACAAAAGTATCTTATTGTAAAGGACTTCACGTGAGTTTATTGGCTGTAAAGAAACTGTTTTCAACCACTATTGCTACTGATTTCATTACAACTTTCTGTTTTCCATACCATAGTAAAGAAAGAAGATCCGGGTTTGATGGAAGATCATAACTTTCATATTCGATGCATGCTAGTTGTTTTGTTTCATTCTGGAACCTTGTACCTAAGGAATACTGAAAAATGTTGTTGAATTTGGAAATGCAAGGCAATCCATGTTTTGTTTCTCATCCAAAAAGAATTAAAAAAATCTTGCTGACATATGCTTTTCCTTATTCTATTACGTTTGTAGTTATGCTACATTTAAATCCGATACGATACATGTTTTTCTGTTACAGTGAAAAAAGTAAAGACAAGAATCCTTCTATTCTTTCTATAATATTTTCTTTTGGGGAGTACTGTTACATTTTGTTCTTATCTTCATGAGAAAGATCTGTATTTCTTTGATCTAACAAACAAAAACTTGAAATCTGCTTTTTGAAACGCGAACAGGGTATGAAGCCTCTCAAGTAGAAGCCTAAAAACCTAACACAATTGAAGAAGTTGAAACATGAAAGTGAACAATATAAAAGCCGATGAAATTGAAGAAGGTTGAATTTTCAGTTTGTAGAGAGAAGTCAACACATTCTCCGGAACACAACCACAAGAGTTAGATAAAACTTGTGTTTCAAGGTTTGTGCTTAAAGAATATCAAGATGGTAACCTAAAATAGAAGCCACATTTCTCAGTAGATTTTTGTTGTTCAAGATAGCTATGTGTAAATATTTTATTTCTCTGCCTCTTTATACACTATATATACAGTGTTTATTTTAATTTGTTTTTATAGAACATAAAGTTGGCAAATTGTAATTAAATCTGCAGATATTTGTAGATTTTATAGAAATAAATATTATATATATCAGTTTCTTGACAGGATAATGGTTTGTGCACCACCTATCAAAGTGATTCACTTTAGAATTTTCGCGTTGATCATTTTTGTTCATGAGTATAACATTTATATATCTATTGGTTTTCTCTATCAGGACTTTGTCAGCTCTGAAGTTGATGGTAGAGATGCTGTTTCAGTCCCATAGCATCAAGTTGGAAATTGACACAAGGAATTCTATATACCAACCATGGATATTCTCAGCCTCCAATAGCATTCACAACGTATCTGATTGGATAGTTTTATGTTACAAATTTTAAATGGGATGGTTAAAGTTGTGGTTAAATTTAAACTAAATTATTAAAAAAATGAATAGTCAAATTAAAGAAGCATAAGTATTACTTAAGACTATGGGGTGGCAACATGAATGCTCGCCATGTTTAGGTCTTTTACAAAAATTTGCAAATTTTTTTAAAATTTTGGTCTGAAAAAACGAGGGACATTTGGACCTTACACTCAAAGGCTAAAAGTCGTAAATGTTGTTGTTAATGTTTGGTGACGCAAAAGGCTTAAAAAAAAAGTAATGCTGGTAAAATAGACATGTTAAAATCTATTTTATTATCTTTATTCGAGATTACTTAGATGAAATAATAAAAAGATCTCTTTCATCTCTTTTAGCTTAATTAGAGATACTATGCTCTAATCTAATCATAGACAAACAACAATTGCAATGATTAGACAATACTTAGAAAAACAAAAAATTTAACTCAATGAAATTATAGAGTTGCATTGTTAAAAAATAACTAAAACTATAAATTAAAAAAAATTAATTAATGCAAACAAAATAAGAATTAAAAACTTTGATATCATAGTCCTATGAACTTATTGTTTTGTTTTTTTTTTAAAATAATTTTTATAATATTACATAATTTTATGTAAGAAAATTTAATTTTTCATAAAAAATTCAGATAAAAATTTAGTTGGAATAGTTATTCTTAAAATATTATTTTAGATATTTCATCATTTTATTGAATTTTTTTCAATATCAAAATTTATAAAAAAATCACTAAATTTTGAACCTATTTTAAATAGATTTTTATAAAAATTATTTTTGAAATACAATTTTTTTAAAAAAAATTAGTAAAAGACCCCTGTGTTGCACAGACCACGCAAAGTTGATATAAATAATAAATTAAAGTAACATAATGATAGTTGATAAATATATATATATAAAAGATACATAAATTAATTTTTTTTTTTGAAATTGTGATTGTCATATAAATATTAATTTAATCTACTCGTGCGTATGTACGAATAACACAATATCATTATAAATAGTAAATAAATATAGTATAGCGATGATTAAAAATATATATAAAATATATACGGATTAAGTAGTTGGAAATATATATTTTAGTAGAAAAAATAAATGAAATAATTAAGTAGTCATATATGTGTGCTTTCGCACGAGTCATACAATGTCATTATAAATTTGCTAGAAATAATCATCTATTCGTGCCTGAGTGAACACTAACATTTACACCCGTACCCATACGCCATGGATATCCAAATATCCATACTAATTTTATCGTATTTATAATAAAAAATTATCAATCAATTGTAATTTAATACTCATATCCGTTTATTTATATTATTTTTCTTTATCATAGATACATTTATTTATATTTATAAATATATCTAAATTAGTACTGATGATGTTGTAACATCATTGTATTAAAATACAGTATAATTTAATTTATCGAATCAAATAAATAATTAATAATATTTGATATAATTTTGTAAATGATATTAAATCAAAAATTGAAGTGAAAAAACGGCTCGATCCGGCAATATATGCCTGTTTTGTCATCACTTAATTTTGTTTGCCGAAGATTTGTTTTTAAGAATAAATGTGAAGTGTGGGAAGGCTACTGCAAGTAGCGCCAATTAAATAGTTAATTTCCAATTAATATTGCATTCATCAATGAAAAGTGTGGGACGGTTACTGCATGGCGCCAAAAAATGAAATGAAAAATAAATAAAGATGAGAGAATAAAATTTTTTACTTTGTTGTCATATCTTAAAATTTTTCTATTAATTTCGACGATCACGTTACCATTATATTTCTAAATTTCTAATTACTTTGTTCAATTTGTTTATGAAAATTATCATATGAGGGGTTTAAAACCAATAGAAAGATATATTGTCTTAAATGGATCATTAATGACCCATTAAGACAATTTTGTTTGGCCCGGTTAAATAATAAGAAAGGAGGAAGGGCGGTTTAAACTTATAAGAGGAGTGTGTTTTAATAAAAGATTGTTGTATCATTTATAATCAGATTAGTCCATCAACATCTAATTATTATTTGGTTTTAATATTAATAATAATTTCTATTATCATTAATTATCATAATTATTATTTTTATTATTTTCTAAAATTTGTTGACTTAATCAACTTAGGGCAAGAAACCCTAATTTCAATCCAGCGTGGAAAACATTAAGCAACCCAAGAGAAACAGATACGATATAGATCAAATCTTTCATAAAAGCACAATCAAATCATATATTTACAAATTATTTGAATCAAATCTTAAAGATTGGATTGGAAAAACGTTTTATTTTGGATTTACATAAGATAACGACCAGATACATTCAAATGTACAAACTCTAAAATAAATTATACAAAATCAGATCAAATCAAATCCCTAATGGATTCAATCACTAAAATATAACGACAAATCAGAAACTTCCTAATCTCTCTAAACTTCTAACCTATAAATAAAACCTAAAACTAATTGAAAAAAACAAAACAAAAAAATCGGAGGTGGATTTGCTTATGGATGATTGGAGGTGGATTTCTCATTGGCCGGTGCTGACAAACTGAAAGATTTATAGTTTATCTCTTCTCCTCTCTATGTATTTCTCTTTTGTTGGGTTTTGTATGTATTTTACTTTGAACTTATGTATATTTGTCGCCTATGGCGTTATATTAAACTTGCTTTACAAATCTTTGTGGATTGTTGTCTTAGATTTTTGCTCTGTGATAGGGATTTGAGTTGTTGTAGACATATACTGCTTAGATTATTATCTAGGATGATTATCTGTTAGTTTCTGAACTCTAGAGATAGATTTAGAGCTGACATCTCTTTGGGTATCAGACCTTAATGCCTCTGTGTGGTTGTGCTGTGCTGAGAGATCGTCAGTACGATTACATAGTTGTCTTATGTGTTGTTGAGGAGGTAGAGAGATCATTTCCTTGGTGATACAATCAGTCTCTCGATTTGGGTTAGAAATGACTTAGGTTGTAAGTGATATGTAGTGACATTGATGAGTATTGTTAGGTTGAATGTAAGTGGTTGGTAGATTTAAGTTTGTGATGAGTAGATTATATGCAGGCTTGATAAGTTCTTCCTTAGTTTTTACCTTTATATACATTTATTTTCTATTGATACTTTTCTATACCATTTATTCCCAAACTCATTAACGAAAGATTTGTCAAACAAAAATTCAATAACCAATCTTTGTGGACATGATACGATATAACCTAAATATCACCCGGTAAAATAATACTTTACTTTTTGCTTGTCGCTATATACCGCAACGAACAAAGATTCTTTCAAAGAGTATGCTCAGAGATGGAGAGAAATGGAAGCCCGTGTGCAACCACCACTCCTGGAGAAAGAATTGGTTGACATGTTCATGAGAACTTTACAAGGGTTGTACTATGATAAGATGGTAGGAAGCGTCTCTTCTGGATTTTCTGATTTTGTGACTATTGGTGAAAGGATTAAAGCAGAGACAAATAGTGGAAAGATACAAGGGCATCATCTAGTACCCCATTATAATTCATAGAGACATGTTCCTAACTTCTAGAAAAATAAGGAAGGAGAAATCAATGCTGTAGCGTCGCACCAAAAGGCACAACAACCATTGCTAATTCCACGAGAACAACAACAAAATAGGTTCGAAAGGCCTCCAAGAAGGTTTGATCATCTTCCCATGCCACATAGTCAATTATTGCAACACTTAATCAAAGCGTCTTTATAGAGATAAAGCCTCTATCTCCTCCAGTTGAGGCACTCCCACCAAAATACGATGCGAATGCCAGGTGCGAGTATTATGCCAATTCTCCGGGGCATACCATAGAAAAATGTTGGGCCTTGAGGCACTAGGTTCAAGATTTGTTGGATTCCTAAGATATCACTTTTGATAAGCCAAACATCAAGTCAAATCTCATGCTTCTACATGGTGGGCCAGTTGTAAATGCAATTGAGGTGGTTACTGACTTTGGGGCAGCCAGACAAATGAAGGCCCTAATAAAACTTTTGAAGGACTACTTGTTGTAGTGTGGGATCCTTTTGGAACCTAACGAGGCTTTTGAGAAGACATTGAAAAAATTGGCGGATCAAGGGATAGTCCAATTAAGGTAATGCTCTAAAGAAGAATATGTAGTTGCGATTGATGGAAGTACGAAGAAGCCATTGGTAATTCCTTGCCAAGGGCCGAATCCTAATAAGAAAACTCTAGAGATTCCATGGGGAGAGTCAACAAAAATACCAGTGATGATACCACGCCAGACTCTGAGAATTCTAGTAGTTCCGAAGACTACAATGGTGATTAGGGGGCCATCTCCTACCCCTTACGAAAGTAACAAACCAGTACCTTAGAGTTATGATTCTACTATATACATTAATGGTTAAAGCAAGAAGGTGAACCATCGACAAGTCAAGGACATGCGATCATAAATATAGCTGGAATAGAGGGTGTGATCGGTGGAAATAGAACTGACTGTTTTGGAATGCTGGTTCACGAAATGTCGCGGTAAGCAAGAGTCGCCACCGTCTTTTATGTTCTCCAACAAGGAAAGGACAAAAGCACAACAAAATTCCTTTTCGAGATGTTTCTCGGTTCGGGAGGTAGATTATAGAAAGGGAAGGTGTTAGCACCCTTTCTATTCGTGGTTATCCACGGGCTCTTAGGTACTTGCTCACTATGTTTTCAAAAATTGTTTGCTTTTCTTGTGTTTGTGGGTTTTGAAAAAGTTTCGTTTTGAAAACTTCTAGGTAACTCTTGTATCAGTCCTCAAGAGTGTATGGAGTGTTTGTTTGAAAACTTTTTGAAAGTGTAAGTGCGAAAAGTTGTTTTTTTGTTTTGAAAGAGCAAGTACCCAGGAGAAATCTACCTACTCTAAAGAATTAAGCTGTGTAAATGTCCTTTAGACAGTACTATCCCACTATTGAGAAGTAGGTAGCACCGTCGTTGGAGTTATTCGGGTCAATTCGATTATAGGGACATGTGTGGTCACCAAAGCAATAGTA